GACAAACAACAAACAGACAAACAAACAAACAGAACAAACAAACAAACAGACAAACAAACAGACAAACAAACAAACAACAAACAGAACAAACAAACAAACAAACAGACAAACAAACAAACAGACAAACAAAACAAACAGACAAACAAACAAACAAAAACAAACAAACAGCAACAAACAAACAAACAAACAAACAAACAAACAAACAGACAAACAAAACAACAACAAACAAACAAACAAACAGACAAACAAACAAACAGACAAACAAACAAAACAACAACAAACAAACAGACAAACAAAACAAACAAACACAAACAAACAAACAACAAACAAACAAACAGACAAACAAACAAACAGACAAACGCCGGCAAAAACATAACCTCCTTGGTGGAGGTAACCAGGTCTAAACTAGATCTAAACCAGGACTAAACCAGGACTAAACCAGGTCTAAACCAGGTCTAAAGATTGAGATTAGAGATGTTAAAGGTCCCACAGTATCAAACTCTTCTCTCTGTTCTGATGTCGTTTCTCGTTCAGACTACGACTTCGTGACATCACAAGGTGGAACAGAGCGTTTGGACGTTTGGAGATGAAGAAGACGAATGATAATAAAGAAACGAAACAGAAGTGCAGCTCTGTGTGAGTGTGTGTGTGTGTGTGTGTATGTGTGTGTGTGTGTGTGTGTGTGTGTGTGTGTGTGTGTGTGTGTGTGTGTGTGTGTGTGTGTGTGTGTGTGTGTGTGTGTGTGTGTGTGTGTGTGTGTGTCTGTGTCTGTGTGTGTGTGTGTGTGTGTGTGTGTGTGTGTGTATGTGTGTATGTGTGTATGTGTGTGTGTGTTGTGTGTGTGTGTGTATGTGTGTGTGTATGTGTGTATGTGTGTTTGTGTGTGTCTGTGTCTGTGTGTGTGTGTGTGTGTGTGTGTCCTCGTCTCGTCTGTTCCTGTACGGAAAGTCATAAAGTTTATTATTAGACTCCGGGACGAAGAGCGGGAGGGGCAGGTGCAGGTGGGCAGGTGCAGGTGCAGGTGGGCAGGTGCAGGTGGGCAGGTGCAGGTGGGCAGGTGCAGGTGCAGGTGCAGGTGGGCAGGTGCAGGTGGGCAGGTGCAGGACGGGGGGAGGATAAGAGGAGAGACTGGAGGAAGAGCCGCACACACTCGTCGCTCGAGCATCAGGTGAGTCCACGTCGGGATTTTTCACGTCCAGGTCGGACTCGGACTCGGGAAGGAGACACAGTCTTGGTTTAGTCCTGGTTTAGTCCTGGTTTAGTCCTGGTTTAGTTCTGGTTTAGTTCTGGTTTAGTCCTGGTTTAGTTCTGGTTTAGTCCTGGTTTGGTCCTGGTTTAGTCCTGGTTTAGACCTGCTTTGGTCCTGGTTTAGTCCTGGTTTAGACCTGGTTTGGTCCTGGTTTGGTTTAGTTCCTGGTTTAGTCCTGGTTTGGTCCTGGTTTGGTCCTGGTTTAGTCCTGGTTTAGACCTGGTTTGGTCCTGGTTTGGTCCTGGTTTAGTCCTGGTTTAGACCTGGTTCCTGGTTTGGTCTGGTTTAGGTCCTGGTTTTTAGTCCTGGTTTAGTCCTGGTTTAGGTCCTGGTTTAGTCCTGGTTTAGTCCTGGTTTAGTTCCTGGTTTAGTCCTGGTCCTTTTAGTCCTGATTTAGTCCTGATTTAGACCTGGTTTAGTCCTGGTTTAGTTCTGGTTTAGTCCTGGTTTAGTTCTGGTTTAGTCCTGGCTTAGTCCTGATTTAGTCCTGATTTAGACCTGGTTTAGTCCTGGTTTAGTTCTGGTTTAGTCCTGGTTTAGTCCTGGTTTAGTCCTGGTTTAGTCCTGGTTTAGTTCTGGTTCTGGTTTAGTCCTGGTTTGTTCTGGTTTTAGTCCCTGGTTTAGTTTCTGGTTTAGTCCTGGTTTAGTCCTGGTTTAGTCCTGGTTTA